GTTTGATCATTACACATTGTACACATGTCTTGAATTATCCATAGATAGGTACTATTATTTGTTGATTTTTAAAAATCAGCAAAATATGTTACTTAGCTATTGGAATATGAACTTTTTTTAAATTTTTATTTGACAGGTAAAGTTATAGACAGTGGGAGAGAGACAGAGAGAAAGGATTTCCTTCCGTTGGTTCACTCCCCTAATGGCCGCCACAGCTGGTGCTGCGGCAAGCCAAAGCCAGGAACCAGGTTCTTCCTCCGGGTCTCCCATGTGGGTGCAGGGCCCAAGCACTTGGGCCATCCTCTGCTGCCCTCCTGGGCCACAGCAGAGAGCTGGACTGGAAGAGGAGCAACCAGGACAGAATCCGGTGCCCCATCTGGGACTAGAACCCAGGGTGCCAGCGCCGTAGGCGGAGGATTAGCCAAGTGAGCCACGACGCCGGCTAATGTTATTATTGATCATTGTCTCCATTAGCTGCTGTTATTATTGGTAGTTGTTAGTCTCATAGATACCATGAATAGATATTCATGGCACTCCAAGGTTTTTTTTTTTTCTTTGAGAAATTGGTCATTTATAAATAATATTGCTTACATTGGCAAGTATTTCATTATCATGAATGCTTCTTTAGAAAAGGGATATTTTAATTTTTATTTTAGATTAAGCAGTCTTGAACTTTGCACTTAGTACATATTGCTACATGAATCTGTTACAGGACAAACAATGTAGGAAACATGATAGCGATTTTGAAATGATGAGGATAAATACATAAATTCTCTTCATGACAATTAGGTGTTCTCAGACCTAAAAATCTAATGCTAGATTTAGACATCTGTATTTCTAAATGATTACCTTAGGAGAAACAGCACACACTTAGTTTGCACTCCAATGAAGTGTAAAATATGGCTGGTTTTTGCCATATGTCAGGCACAGGTCATTCACGACATATATTGTGACTGATACAATACTGATTTGATGGGAAACCAAGACCATTTATACTCCAAATAAATGAAACACAGCTGCCAATACATAAAGGAAACATTTTAAATAGGAAGAAGGTAAAAATCTTAATTATTTCTCACTGTTTTTAAAATAATTCTAATTATTCTGAGAGCCATTTTTCTCTTAAGACTAATTTTCTAATATAGATGATGCAATACATAGCATTTTAATTACTTCCTTTGGTTTCTATCTGTACTCTCCAGGGAGAAAGCGTCCCGGTGGGAAAATCCTACCCTTATGTATCCTTCTGAATTACCCATCTATGATGGAGATGAGATGTTTCCAATAACATTTTTTTCTTCACAGACAGGTGAGTTCATGCATAGGAAGAGTCAACGCGTTTTTACAGAATCATACTGAAATGTCAGCCTTCTAGGTTTTCTTTGTAATTATGAAAAGGAAGAAAATGTTTTATGGAAAATGTTCTGTAGGAACTTTGCTGCTGCTGTGGAAGACTTTCTGTGTGTTGCTTTTGGCCTGACAATGCAGTCCAAGAATATAATTCAACAGATAGAAATGTACAATATCCACCTACACAAATAGTGGCATTCCTTTCTATAAAGTGTCACTAAATAGCAACTGAAAATTATGCTTCTATTTTCTGTATAAAATACCTTTTCTTGTTAGTTTAACTGTCATTCAATTTCTCTATCACTGTGTCTCTTTATCGTTCTCATAAACATGGACAGAGTCATTGAACATAACTTCTGTATTGTAGTATTATCTGTAAGATACCAACGATATGTTTTCAAATCAGTATTGACAGAGAAGCCTTCCTGTGCATGAAGCGTTAGTAAGTGTCCCTACACTGCTTAGAAACCACCAGATCCTTACTTCATTTCTCTTTGAGTAAAGCACAGTATGTATGTGTATACACACTTAAACACATACAGGTATGTAATCCATCTTTTACAATAGGCTTAAAGTAAATTTATACTACCTCAAAAAGTTTCTGTTCATATAGTAGACTTTAGATAATTTTCTATGTGTGATTGTTGTACAAATATGCTTAATAATATTTTTCATTTAAATCTCAGTCACCTTTTATTCAACTTTTTCATAACTATTTGAGGTAGGTACAAACTGTTTCTTTTTTACATTACAGAAAAACAATGTATGAGATGTTTCTGTACAATTACATAGATATTATATAGATATGCGTGTATAAATGTGTGCATGTGAATGTGTGTTCAATAGCTACTTTGAAGAGTGTAGGAGATAATTGCATATTTGATATTCTTTTTTAAAAAAGATTTATTTATTTATTTGAAAGACAGTTACACAGAGAGAGAAAGAGAGGCTGAGAGAGAGAAAGAGATGTCTTCCATCCACTTGTTTACTCCTCAGCTGGCTGAAATGACCATAGCTGCGCCAATCCAAAGAAAGAAGTCAGGAGCTTCTTCCGGGTCTTTCTATGTGGGTACAGGGGCCCAAGGACTTGGGTCATCTTCTACTGCTTTCCCAGGCCATAGCAGAGAGCTGGATAGGAAGTGGAGCATCCGGGACTCCAACAGGTGTCCATATGGGAGCACTGGAGGCGGCAGCTTTACCCACTATGCCATAGCACAGCCCTGATATTTTTTCAATAGAAATGATAAATGTTATTATTTTTATCTTACTGAACAGTTGACATCCTAAAAGAACGTACTCAACAAATAAGCTAGAGTATATTAAAGAAGAGAAGTCAGAGGGTTTTCCTAGGTATTTTTACTCAGCTATATTTCTATTTTATAAAATCTTACTGAAATTTGAGATTTAGATTAACCTGTTCCTTCCTTTTTTCTAGGTATTATGATTTTAGTTATCTAAGATAAACACAATCCTTTTTTAAAAATTTTATTTATTTATTTGCAAGGCAGAGTTACACAGAGAGAGGGATAGACAAAGAAAGAGAGAGAGAGAACTTCCATCTCTGGTTCATTCCCCAAATGGCTGCAATGGCCAGGGTTGGGTCTCACATGTGGTTTCAGGGGCCCAAGAAAATGGGCCATCTTCTACTGCTTTCCCAGGCCATAGCAGAGAGCTGGATCAGAAGTGGAGTAGCTGGGACTCAAATTGCCACCTCTATGGGATGCTGGCATTGCAGGAGGTGGCTTAACCTGCTATGCCACAATGCCAGCACCAAAACACAATATTAGTATGAGCCATTTTTGTGTAACAGTCTCTACTATTAAAAGTTGAGAAACTTCTTCATACAAATGTATGACTTTCTTAGCCAGTAGTGGGCATCCTCTAGCAGGATGTTAGAAAATGGGTTTCTGTACAGAAATTCTAGAATTAACAAAGATTTCTTGTAGTTTCTCTTTCGTCACCCTAAGATAAACTGAAAGCTATTAAGAAAATAGCAACTGTTAAATATTTTTCCCAACTATAAAAAAGACAACACAATTTAAATTGAATTCCTTTAACAGATCTGCATGCCAAATTTAACAGTTCTGGAAATCACTTGGCCAAACCCATTGATTAATTTTAATAAGAAAATTGAGACTACATTAAAGTAATTCTGATAATGGAAACAGGACTAGGACACCTAACATGGAATTCTCATCAGTATAGCCTCCTGTAATCATCTATGTCTGTCACCTTAGTTAATTCTCAGTACATTCCCAAAGGAATACTTTCTCATTATCCTGAATTCCACATGAAGAAACTGTTACAAGGATCCACAAATCTAGTAACGAACAGAGCTTGGAGTTGAACCTAAAGTTATAACTATTTTACTATCAACAAAGCATTTCAAACTTACTACCATATAATACTAAACACAACAAATTAGACACTGGATCCATTCATCTCCATTCTCTCTCAGCTTTTCCTGGAACAATTGAATGGAGCTAATGAGTAAAGATAATGAGATTTTTATATCTTGTACTTTGCTGGAAAATACAGGATAGTTTTATGAAGAATAATTGGTTTTGCAATTTCTTGGCCCATGAATAACTGAATGTGAGTAGGATGTGAAAAGCAGTACTTATGTACTACTTATACATTGGCTTAAAATATTTAGAGATTTAGGATGTTCTAGAATATGTACAAAATCTAGATAGCTAGTTCTTTGACAAAGCAGAAAACCAAAAACAGCTTATTTCCCAAACACTCAATATATTTCCTAAACTTTCTGGTACATTTTAACTGGTTTGATTTAATTTATTTAATTGATTTGAAATAATGGAAGAATAACATAGACTTTCAATAAATATTTTATTTTTCCTAATATTACTTAATTTAATAGAGAGGAAGGAAGTTAGAAACTGCCATACAATTTGTTAACATTTCAAAGTCAAAAGGTTTAAAATTCTGAAGAGAATGTGAAACAGGTGTTTGTATCATATTTGTTTGCAATGCAGACATGGTCAATATGGATTTTATTCTTTTTCAAGTTAATTTTTTTAAAAAATAAAAATTGCTACATCAGCATGATGTTGTGAGAGACTTTTTATTTATTTTTCTGGTTTATGATGTTAACTATAAAATTATCTTAAAGCATTTGTTGTCATTTTTGTAATAATCATCTCAAATTTGCAAACTGCCTAAAAGTAAATACCTGTTTACTTTGTGATAATGTGGTTTAGTATTTCTTTGTTGTGGCTTTGAATTAAATTCTAATACATGAAAGACCATCTAAATTTTATAAATCTAGTGAGCACATAATAAGTATATATCATTTAAAAGTTGGAGTCAGATAAGAATAAGAATAAAAATTTCTTTGTCAAGTTTTTTTTCTGTACATGTAAAAGTAGACACAATAGGTTACATGACTATGCTTCCATAATTTCATATTATTTCACCAATTTTAAAAACTTTGATGTGCAGATGTGTGAGTAAGATAAATACTACTGAGAGAAGATAAATAAAAAATAATGGAAGGAGATAGAAAATTAGCAGAAGCAGTGAAACGAAAGTGGCATGAAGAGAATATTAGTGAAGAATGGCTATAAATTGTCTCTGTACTTACTCATTTTAATTTATTTTATTAGGTAAAATGGAGCCCTCTTTGGGTCAGATTTAAGAAAATGCTCAATTTTACTGATGTGACAGAATTTATCCTTTTGGGATTAACTAGTCGTCCTGAATTACAACTCCTTTTCTTCGTGGTTTTCTTACTGGTCTACATCATCACCTTGCTTGGGAACATTGGCATCATCATATTAATCAGGATCAGTCCCCAGCTCAGCAGTCCCATGTACTTTTTTCTCAGTCACTTGTCTTTTGCAGATGTGTGGTTCTCCTCCAATGTCACCCCTAAAATGTTGGAGAATTTAGTATCTGAAGACAAAACCATTACCTATTCTGGATGCATCGTTCAGTGCTTTTTCTTCATTGCCTTTGTCCATGTGGAAGTCTTCATTCTTGCTGTGATGGCCTTTGATAGATACATGGCAATTGGCAATCCTTTACTTTATGGCAGCAGAATGTCAAGGACTGTCTGTATTCGACTGATCTCCTTTCCATACATATACGGCTTCTTCATTAGTTTGATCTCAACGCTGTGGACCCATGGTTTATATTTCTGTGGGAACATTGAAATCAACCACTTCTACTGTGCAGATCCAGCGCTCATCAAAATGGCCTGTGCTGGGACATTCATTAAAGAATACACCATGCGCACTTTGGCAGGTCTCAATTTCTCTTATTCCTTACTGGTCATTATCGTCTCCTACATATTTATCCTTATTGCCATTCTAAAAATGCGTTCGGCAGAAGGAAGAAAGAAAGCCTTCTCCACATGTGGATCCCACTTGACAGCTGTGACTATATTTTATGGAACACTCTTCTTCATGTATCTTCGAAGCCCAACTGAGGAGGCTGTGGAGCAAGGGAAAATGGTGGCTGTGTTTTACACCACAGTGATTCCTATGTTGAATCCTATGATCTACAGTCTAAGAAACAAGGATGTTAAAGAGGCCATGAACAAAGTGATAAATAGAGCATTTTTAACTAAATAAACATTTACTCTGGGCTAAGAGAGCCACAATGTGCATTAGAAGGGGAGGGAATTATTTCTTTCGTATAATTTTGAGAAAATTTGCTATTTACATTTATAGTGAATGGGCAAAAGTGGTATATTATTGAAAAGGAAACAATGGGGTAGAAGAAAGGAATTTTTCAGTCAGGAAGTCTGTAATGATGGAAAGTGGTTGAATATCAATTCTAAGATGTTCCCTTCAACCCAGTATCAAATTCAGTAGGTTAATCTATAATTTGGCATGATTTTTCATGACTTTGATATTTCACAAATCCATCCTCTCAATTCTGTCTGTCAAAGGACTATAGTGCTACTTAGGGTCTCATTTTGCACCTAGAGTCATTTTCAGATTAAATGTTGTTTCAAAATGCTGAAATTGATTATGAATTTACCATTAACTATTACTATATGTGTACACAATACTCATGACAAGAGAATATTTTAAGACATTTTAAGTGACATTACCTGTTTATTTGCTTTTTATTTGCAAACATGTATGATTTTATAAAATAAATTTATTTATAAAAGATTTACTTCATGGCTGGCGCCTTGGCTCAATAGGCTAATCCTCCGCCTTGTGGTGCTGGCACACCGGGTTCTAGTCCTGGTCGGGGGGCTGGATTCTGTCCCGGTTGCCCCTCTTCCAGGCCAGCTCTCTGCTATGGCCAGGGAGTGCAGTGGAGGATGGCCTAAGTACTTGGGCCCTGTACCTGCATGGGAGACCAGGAGAAGCACCTGGCTCCTGCCATCGGATCAGCGCGATGCGCCAGCCGCAGCGCGCCGGCCGCGGTGGCCATTGGAGGGTGAACCAACGGCAAAGGAAGACCTTTCTCTCTGTTTCACTCTCTCTCTCTCACTGTCCACTCTGCCTGTCATAAAAAAAAAAAAAATTACTTCATATGCCACAGTATCCATTTAAGACTTGGATGTGTTTGTGTGTGTGTGTGTGTGTGTGTGTGTGTAATACATTTGTATGGACTAACAGGAGGTTATGACCTAATTGGTATTTGGGAATTTTGGAATTCTGAATGCACTTTTCCAAAGCTATTTTGGCAAATTACAATGGTTCCTTCTTTTATGAAGGGGATACAGTGGGAGACATTGTGCAGATGCCTGAAACAGTGGGTATCACCAAATCCTATAGGCATTTGGAATTATAAACTTAAATGTTGTAGAAGGGAGAATAAAGCAGTACTCCAGGATATCATATACTCATTTATACCTCTGGTTACACCTCTCTATCTCTCTCTCTCTTTCTGTCATTCTCTCTCTACCTGACCCTTCTTTTCTAACTCAGATGACCAGGGACAGAGGACTGCCTTACTGACTCATCAAACATTTTTTTTGTCCAGGATCTGTGAGTAACAAATATTTGAATTTCTATTGTATTTTAATGCTGTATTAAATTTGCAGCATCCATTTGAACAACCAGGGACTATGCCCCAGGTTTTCCTTCCCTGATGCTGGAACAAACACAAGATCATGTACCCAAGGTCAAAGCAATGCTCAAGTTGGCAAAACCTAGACATTGATCAGACAAAAGCATTCAGGATGTCTGCCAGTACAAATGAGTGTAATGGGCCCCTGGTTGAGAATTGAGCCATTTGCCAACCAAAAGAAGTGTATCATGAGAAGTGCAGTGTAAATACTCACATTCAGCTGTCCTTCATTTCCCTTTAGGGCAGGGTTGTTAGCTACTCTGGTACTAGATTCCAGTTTGTCTGGGGAGGGGAGTCTCAAAGCAAGTTATGTAATCAGGACAAGAGATATAGCTACTCAGAACAAAGTAGTGGCATTAAAGATGGCAAGAGAACCTCAGACTCTGACTGTGTTTCAATGTAGATATTTTGAATGTAGAATTTTGGCTTGGAATTCATTTTCTACCATCAAAAATATTTTTTAACTACTCCAGTATCTAAGCACTACAGAGTGATTAATTTGTAGCAATGGAACTAATATTTACATGTAAAATTTCTAAACTGGGTTGTTTAGAAAATATGCATGCACCTGTCACCTTCTCCAACATCTGGATATTAGTGCTCAAGATGGCACCATAAGGTATATGTTATAGAAAGCAAAGGAATTGACAGCTTGAGGCTTTGAATGATAGTGAGTAACCATGATCTTCAACATCAGTTTATAAATTTGTTGAGAAAGTATAAAACCTCATAAAATTTTATGTCTTCATCCCCTCAATGTCAATGTTACTAACTGATAATCTGTCCATACACTTACATGCTACAGCCCTAATCTGTAAGAACTACATCTTAAATCATGTTTTAATCAACCCTATTATTTCTGTTATTCCTGCATTTGTGTTTATGAATTCCATTTTTCTATCCTCTTCAAGATTTTTCAAAAATTTTATATCATTTGGAGTTAATCGCTAAACCAATTACATTTTTTCTTATTTCACGATAATAACTGCTTGTGTTTTCTTCCAGATTTGCATCATATCATGCATTGCAAAATGTATAATTTCAGAATGTTGTACTTTAAATATAGTTTTAGTGTTTATTTCTCCTTAGTAACAAGATATATAGATAAATATTATTATTCAATAATAAATATTAATCATTGTGATTATATAATATATAGCAATAGTGTATTATTATTTAATAATTCAATGTTAATTTAAAGATGAATTGTATACTAATCTTTTTGTCTTTTAGATTTTATATGTTTAAAACAATAAGGATTTTAGTATATATCTTCTAGTTGTTTTAATATATGATTTATTAAAATATATATGGCTATTATTCATAGCTTTTGTTTACTTATTTCCATTATCTTTATGTGTTCTTGGAAAATATTTAAAAATTAAATATTTAAAGTATTTTTATTTCAAATATTTACTTTACTTCAAGTATTTTTCTATATTATTTTCTATATAATTTCTATATAATTTATTATGTGCAATTCCACATGCAAAATCCCTCCACTGAGACATTCCCAGAGGAAGGAGAGGGGAGAAGAAGTGGGGGGCCCGTACTCATGTCCATAAAAACCCCAGTCCAAATGCAGATTGGGCTGTTAGCCCTTTACTGAGATGCCTACCTGCTCTGTCAGGTGTAGGAGTTTCTGTCTCTTCCCAAAACTATGCTCAAATGTCCTTCTTGCCTGCTCATTCATCAGCCACATCCTTTGCTGTCAATACATCAAGTTCCCAGGCTTCCATTCAGCCATAACAGTATTTTAAACTAGATTCTCCTGGAGCACATGGGGGCTTCCTGTCAAACATTTCTGATGTCTGTGGTACAGTAGTCAGTTTGGGTAGGGTTCACAATGGAAGAACAGAACACTGGATTTCTTCAACAAGGTTAGGATGGTGTATGTGACTTCAAAAGAAAACACCACTCAAAATTAAAAAAAAAAAATGAAGACATTCTTTGGCTTCCTGTTTCTATTTTAGATCAACAAATTTATATAAATCTAATGAGGACAATTTGCTCTGATGACATTGAACACTAAATACCATTTAAATGGTTAAAAGCAGCTTGCTTAGTAGGCAATCATGGAAATTCTCTTTTATTGCTAGAATTAAAATTTTAAGGCTCTTAACATTGCTAAAGCAGACATCTGTCTATCCTAAGAATCTTCACTGAGTGGGTGTTTTGTTTTCACTGGCCCTGTGGGTTGCAAAGGAAAGATACAGTTCCCTTTTATGAGGCTGGCGTGCTGCCTGCTGTCTGAAGAATTCATGAATAAAGGAAATTTTTAAATAGTCACTTACATGAGAAGAGCCTGTGCCAGTCTGTAACTATAAGTGTTCTAACCTTGCTAAAGTTTCAAGCAAAAACATCTTTTTCTAAATGGAGAAAGCAAGAAACTTGGGATTATTAAACCTGATTCTCAGTGAAGGGAGAAGATATCAATTGGGAGGGCAGAGGAAAGAGAGAGAGAAAGATAATAGAGATAGATAGAAATGATAGAGATAGATGGAACTAGAGATACAGATCAGTCATTTTATATTAAAACTGTAAGCCAAAATTTTATTTAAAGTGTTCTTGGGTTCCTGGTAGAAGATAAAACCTTACTGGATACCCACGGCTAAATCCCATTTTTTTTTAAAAAGAGTTATTTATTTATTTGAAAGGCAGAGTTACAGAGAGAGAGAGAGAGAGAGAGAGAGAGTTCTTTCATCCACTGATTCAGACCCCAAATGGCAGCAATGGCCAGAGCCAGGCCAATCTGAAGCCAGGATCTGGAAGCTTTTTCTGTCTCCCACATGGGAGCAGGGTCTCAAGTACTTGGGCCATCTTCCGCTGCTTTCCCAGACACATGAGCAGGGAGCCAGATGGGAAGTGGAGCACCAGCACTGCAACCAGTGCCCATGTGGGATGCCGGTGTCACAGGTATTGGCTTTTCTGGGGAGCAACTGAGACTAGACTAAATTACTGGAACTAGGACTAATTTTATGCATCTGGTCTCCCACAATATGGTGCTGAGAGAGAGCAAACAACTTCTACGCAGCTGCCTCGCCAATTTGACTAACAAGTGGCAGAGCTGATCCTGCTCCTGATTGGAGGAGAGCAGCGTGCTCGGCATGTGGGCAGCAGAGCATGGATTGGTGGAAGAGGACTACAAAAGAGGAGAGAAACAACATGCACCAGGAACATCTGGAGAACATCTGAGGGAAACATCTGAGCAACCCCTGAGAGAGCCGGCCGGCGGTGTGCCGCTCCTCTGCTGAAGCGGGGAAAGTGGCAGGGGTGCCGCCCCTCCACGGAGGCGGGGGGCCAGCAGCTAACCCGGGATGGCGTCATTCCTCCACGAGTGAGGGAACGGCAGCTAACCGGGGAAGGGCCGGGCAAAAGGAATAGCTCAGGGTCTAGTGTCATTCCTCTGCGAGAGGGGGAGCGACAGGCTTTACCAATAAGCCATCTTAAATTTCTCAGAGTTCTCACAGGTAAAGTTCCAACAAACACTAAATCTCAAAAGAACCTGGGCTATCTAGTGTATGTAATATTTGTGTGTTTG